AGTGACGTATGTTTGTTGATTGGATGTTGGAGAAGAAAGAAAGAGAACTAACAAGAAATTTTTATATAAAAAATCATCTTTAGCGATCTTCACCTCGGCAGATACAGTAATAAACAAAACTGCCACATTTGGGGTGCTGAAAATCCAAAAGTGATTCAAGAACGACTAATGTATCCAAAAAGAGTCATTGTTTGGTGTGGTTTCTACGCTGGTGATGTGATTGGACTGTATTTCTTCGAAGAGGAGGAAGGAAATGTGCTTACGGTGAATGGCGTACGCAATCGCGAGATGATAACTAACTTCTTATGGCCTAAATTAGAACGCGTAGATTTGAAACAGATTTGGTCCCAACAATGGTGCACCACCTGCCACACAACACTTGAACAATTGCTTCATTGCATCGCAAATTCCCTGGTGGCATTATCTCTCGACAAGGAAACATCAATTGGCCTCCGAGATCTTGCGATTTAACACCGCCAGACTTTTTTCTTTGGGATTATGTGAAAGAGAAAGTCTATGCTAACAATCCCAAATCAATTCTACAGCTGAAAGACAACATTTGAAGTGTTATCGCTGAAGTAGGGCCACATTTATGCGAACAAGTTATACAAAATTTCGACAAAAGGATGGTAGCCTGGAAAACGAGTCGGGGTGACCACTTGTCCGATATTTTATTCCATGTACAACCATCATCTATGCACTTTATATTGAAATAAAAAAAAATCAAAGTTTGCTTAATAACTAATGCGTTTTATTAAAAAATTAAAATTAAACTTCCTATTGAATCACTCTGTAACACACACACACACGCGCGCGCGCGGGGGTATAAATATATGCATATGCATTGGAAGAATATAAATGTACTTCTGTTTTTTGTGAAGGTTGGAGGGGAGTTCAACTATGCGAATTCCCCCCCCCCCCCGGAGGGGATGTTATTCGAGGGAGCACTGTAATTCATTTTCATTAAATATGATGACAGATTCTAAACATAGATGTTCTGTCGCGCAGGTACGGAACGCATGGGGTCTTCGTTGACCGGGTTTATGGCATGCTCGTACGGAAAGGTTATTTTTGAGAACAAAGACGCTTCGTAGCTCCGCGAAAAAATAAGTAATTTCTTACAGAACAATGCCTTTAGAATTTCGACTTATCCGCGTCCTCAATAACCGAAGACGTGTCATAAACCAGGTATTCCTGAAGGGTCAATCCACACGTGCGTATAACGGCACTCTCGGCCGAGGGTTGACCTGGCGGGAATTTCCGACGCGTCACCGAAGGACAGCGAAGATTCCACGCACCCGCAGGTAGGGCCCCACTCCTTCCAAGGAAAAGCGCGCTAAGGGCGCAATGGAAGGGTGGGTGACACTCAAGGGGCACGTTGATTGGTAATTTATGCGTACATGAAAACCCAATCAGCGTGCCTTCTTGTACTTGGCGGGGGAGTCACGGCGGACTCCGGAAAAATTTCGGGAATCGAGAGACATTAGCAAGCAGGCACTCGTGTGAATAGCACACAAACAAGATACTCTCTCCGTTCAAGTACAATTTGAGTCTTTGAAACAAAGTCGTCAATCGTTCGTGACGCACTCTACGTTTTGCTAACGTTCGAGCAAAGTAGATTTTGAAATAGTTACCCAAGATTAATTTGGCGGGTAATAAGTCGTTAACGCGAACAGTTTGAAACGATCAAACGACCACACGTGACGCGACAGTGCCTTCTTGCACTTGGCCGGGGAGTCACGGCGGACTCCAGAAAAATTCGGCAATCGAGACAGACATTCCCAAGGAGTCTCTCATGTGAACAACACATACACAGTCTCCAACCGTTCGAGGAGACACCCGTAGCTTTCGAGTTGCGATCGATCACTCGAGTCTGAAAAAAGGTCGTCAATCGTTCGTGACGCATTCTAAATTTGCTAACGTTCGAGCAAAGTAAATTTTTGAACTAGTTACCCAAGATTAATTTGGCGGGTAACAGTCGTGAGCACTAACACTTTGAATAATCAAAGGAGAACGCGATAGATCTCTATTTATTTCGGAGCAGTAATTTACTTTAAAATACTATCGCGCTTCCTATTTAACATAGATTATTTTTTATAATCTATAATTTATTTTTTAAAATCATTGTATTTTCCATGGTATTTTTCAGTCTTCCTCTAAGCTTATTTTCCAATAAAAAAATCACCAACTTTGAATTTTATGAACCAATATTGAACTACCCTGCCCATTTACACAATCTTTTCAAAATGCTACATTTATACAATATTTTCGATAGATTTACCATACTTTTTCCTTAAGTTTAAACTCATAAATAAATTACACAAATACCTTGATTATTTATGTCTAATAGATAATAAAGGTCTAATAATTTTATTATACATTTTGTTAATATTCAATATACGTACGCTGCAAAAGATTCGTTTTTTTTTTAAATGCTAACTAACATTTGACAATTGGACAAAATTGAATATATGATATTAGCCCTGTAATTTGAAACTTCGGAGAAACGATATACATATTTCATACGCACCAG